CATAGATTCATCACCTCAGTGCTCAGTTCGGTTTCAATTCAACCACGCAACCAGTACAAGCCGTCCTAGATATTCAGTCTTATGCACAGACACTCTCCTAATGACTTTAACTGTGGATTTATTTGTCTGATTCTCTCTAGTTCAAATTCAAAGTCTGAAATCTTATCCATGCAGTAATTATATGATTACTAAATCTAACAAGCTTATTAATTGCTTGGAGGGATTTTAATGAAGGTTTTAATTAAAAAGAATCTGGAGCTGAGACAGGAAGTAAGACCCTGGAGGGCTTGAGCACTGGCTATAGACAATTCAGATCACAGAAATATTTCATTATTTATTGCTTCCATGAATTAGTTTTCAATCGTGGTATTTAGTGAGAAAACTTGAGTGAAAAATGGGAATAACCAGAGGAGGAAACAGAGACTTCTTTAAGTTATTACTGTCTTGTTCAACCTCCACATTTACTCTTCAGATTTTAATGAATGTCAGAAAAATGAACCTGAGAATTTTTTAATGAGCTCTTGCATTGATTCAGGTATTTTATCTTTTTCTGTCCGTCCCTCTTCCTTTTGTTTTGCCCGGCTCGCCACATTCACTCCCACGTCCTCTCTTCCCTCATAACACTTCTTGAACTATCCATTCATAATCAAGATTATCACTGTGGCGCTGGTAACGACCTCAACAAACAGATGAATGGTAAATCAATAAGCACTGACCTTGCAGCATAGTTGGAGTGGACCCCCTCTCACTCACAGAACAATAACTTCATTATAGAGGGAGACAAGCAAAGTAATTGAGGTATTATTCTATAGAATTATGCCCATAAAAGGTTGTGAATTCTCTGTTGTGCTCACAGTTTGCGTGGCATTGTAAGGAAAAGAGGCCGACTAGAAGGCTGAAGGTTCAAGCTCACTTAACAGAAATTATTCGTTACGCTGAAGTGACCTTGAGAGATTCTCAGGTCTCAATGTGGTGTTTTGTTTGTATTCAGAACAAGCACTCCTCATGACTAAATAATGTGCTTTTTTCCCTCATCAGTGTAGATAGTGGATCCCTTGTGGGCCTAAGTCACCACTTAAAATCTCAGGGTCAGGAGTAGTTTTTCTGAGACTCAGAAAGGCACTAGTGCTGCTGCCCCACAGAGCTCATTCACAGCTATTAAACCACATGCTCTTTTGGTCCTGCTTGGTGTTTTTCCAATAGTTGCTGAGTTGTAGAGTTGTGAATTTGATGTGTATCCTGATTTTTTCAGTATTTGACTTTGTATCATTGCTGAAAATTCCCTTTTTTGTCCATATGGTCAAATTTAATTGCACAGATTGAACTTTTTTGTTGATATGCCCATGAGCATTTGAACTAGGACATTTTTTTTTTTTTTTTGGCAAAAGAAATGATCACAATATATTTTGTCTTATCTACGATCTTGATTATTATCCCTTTTTTTTGTATTGCCAGTTGTATTGCCAGTTTCAAAGCAGCTGTACTAAAACCCAAAGAAACTAGACATTAGTTTAACAATTTATTAATGTATAAAGTAAATAACAAAGCAAAATTAATATGACAAACATAGAAAAAAATACGAAACGTTTTTACTCAACAGTACAACAAATGTAGATAAATACTAAATAATACAGTAAATTTGTTTACAGTCCCAAACTAAACAAACCACCCCCTCAGAGATAATGAAGACACCCTCAAATGTAAATATTAGATGATATAATGTAGATGAGACGGTTGATTGCTGCTTTGGTCTCGCGGCTGCACCGCTAGTTGTGGCTAAACTGCTAATGCTACTTGTGCCATCAGCTGTGGCAGGCTGTGCAGACTCCACTCGCATTTTCATGTTTCCCACATAATCACTCAGGAAGAACCTTTTCAAATGATTAAAGAGATCTGTTGTGTTGTTGGTTTTTGAGGGCACCAACCGCTGACATACCTTGCACATCGGCTTAATTCCTCAATGTCACTTTAGAGATACCCGAATCACTGCCACACCTCCGACGTTGAATAACTTTTCTTCTCAACAATGTTGTCTTCTGACGATGACCAAAGTCATAGCTGACATCTATTTCGCTGCCCCCAGTTCCGCGTTTAGCCCCACATTCAGTCATTCTATTAAATTCTCCTGTTTACTTCTCTGGCAACTCACTGAAGTGAGCAGGAAAAGCTTGACTCTGACTGGCTGTTGTCATGTGCCTTTTTCGCCATATTTGATCGAGTAAATATGCTCACAGCTGATCACCGTAATCAAACTGAACTTTGTCACGATCTTTAATCACAATCATATGGTCATCCAGTCCTAATTTTAACACTGTTTTGGTGCACATTCCCGGTCTGGTAACACCCCCCAAAAAAGATTTTTAATCCTTATAGACTTTTTGATAAAATGAAATGTAAAAATTTAAAGCTCCAGTCAGTTGGCACAAGAACTCAAGTAAGTAATGCAATTTATTGAAATTATTTTGACTTTATTTGGTTGTCTATCAGCTTGTCCATACAAAAAGGCTGAATACCAAGAATAAGAGGTGATTCCAAATTTCTTGATTCATTAGGTACAGGAGTTCAGTTCTGCTTTGTGGTTCCTGACAGCAACATAAATCTGAGCGAGAATCCCACAGTCTATACAAAGTGTTGCTTAGCTGTAAGAAGAGGATCATAGTGAACCATAGCATGTGGGCTAAACCTCGCTACAAAAGATAACGCCACAGCAAGGGAGAAAGCACATCCAATATGACGAAGCATTTAGGATGTGAATATGAGGGAGCGCACTGTATTTACTACTCCTGGCCACATCTAGCTGTAGCAACACTCATAACATCTTATCACACTCAGGTGCAAAACTCAGTTGAGCTCACATTTGCATTTATATTCTGGTGAGCAAATCATGTCTACAGATATTTCAGTTCCTGTTCTTACAATGGGTTACTTTAATGCAGAATCTGTGTTCACTGTCGTGATAAAGGGAAAGATGAACAAGGACACAGTGAAGGAAAGATTTATGGTGAAGATTTTAAAAGAGTCAGCAGATTTTAGGTATCCAAATACATGATGTGTGTTGAGATTGTATTATATTTCCATGTGTTTTATTTATATTTTTCTGTAATCAAGTATTGATATGAACTAGAATTGAGAAGTGCAACCAGATTCGAATCTGGAAACGGTAAAAAAAATAGTACCCAACCTTTCATGAAACCGGTAGTAATCATCTGGCGTTGTCATCCAGGAGAAAATGTTATAATTGTGCAGCCATAGAGTGGGCTGGACCACCAAAGGATTTCAAGCCTGACTGATAGACCTGATCTTGTCTTTTTTATGTGATACCAATTAATCTGTCAGGGGAAAACAACACACACAAAAAGTCAAGAGATGGAGCCAACGGAGTGGCACCGTTTTCCAATGATAGCATAATGTGAACATTAGAGCACCTGAGCCTGAGATAATGAAGTGAACTAATAGAGATAATTGAATTTTGTATCACCCTCAGTCACAATTTCACCTCCACTAACTTCATTTGCCATCTACCTCCCGGCCAGGGTATGAATTTAATGATTTGTCTGTCTTTCTCACTTGCTTAATCTCTCCCTCCCTCTGCTATCCTCTCCTCCTGTCTTTGTCCTTCTCTCTGCTTTGTAATCCCCCTTCCCCTCGTATTGCTATCTTTTAAACCCTTGCCTTTTGTTTCTTTTTTTCTTAAACTCTGCTCTCTGGTGTGTTTAACTCAAGCTCTTGCCACACAACATAATAAAGATACACAAGTATATTAAGTACATGACTTAACAGAGCGATCTTCTTGTTTACATGTACACACATTACTGACTCTTTCAGCTTTGTAGGCAGAGTACACACACACATATCCAAACGCAGGCTTGCAACTATAAGTGATGGTTGTTGGGGGAGATTGTGGGCGTGGACTGTCCATGTCGTGAGATTAGAAGGTGGGGCTTTGTTTGCATGTGTATGTGTGCATCCTTGATCTAGCCTTGGTCTGTGTGTTTCGTTGATTGTTTAATAAGAGATATTTGACATTGAACACTAAAGCTTGACCTAAAGTGCAGAAGAGAGTGAAGCTTGGACAGCACACATTTACATGGGCCTGATTTGACTAGAGGGAAGACCGGGGCCTGTTGTCACATGGCGAAGTTGTCACATTGCAATTATCTTTGCCACCAGAGGGCGCAACTTAAAAGTGGAATACTAGTTTTCTTCCTTTATATGGTCAGGGGTCGTGTCCTGTCTGAAAAGAGAAGAGCACATTGTGACTTGAGATGAGTGCCAATTAACTATTTCGCACAACCCAGAGTAAAAAAAAAAACCTTTATATTTTTTATAATAAGCTTCTTCCAGATAAAAATCCTAGCACTGATACATGTAGACTTGTTAGAGGAGAGATTGAGTCATCCTGTCATACCTCAGTCATTGTTCTGTTTTAAGCTAACTTTAAGCAAGAGCTAGAATAAGCAAACATGGTAGTTAGGGGCAACATGTCTCAGTCATTTTGGGGTTAGTTGTCACATGTTTAAAAGGAATTAAAATTAACATGGAACGTCTGCTTATCAGCAGTTGTCACATTGAAATTTTGACTTTATTTTTAAAGAGAAAGAGTGGTTCAAAGGAGAGGTGAAAGCAAGAAGACGTGGTCAGGAATTGGTCAGAAAGAAAAACAAAATGTGACAGTGCAGTACCTGACGTGATGCTGAGGGCAGTCAGGCAGGTGTCCCTAGCTAACAAATCAATCTGGAGTACAATAAAGGACTTTAATGTCAACTACCATGGCTTGGTACTGCAAAACATTCAGTAGTCAGATCATGGATCATGGTGTGATCCTTTCAACCAAGGATTTAGGTGATTTTACCAGAGATGGCCAGCATTATCAATAGATGATTTAGGCCAAAAACTCATTTTCATCAAAAAATGACTGAAGCCATTATTTTAATAGGGTGAAGATATGATGTATTGATTTCAAGAAATATATGAGTGTTAAAAGAGTGACAGCAAGCTCCGGTCTCCCCTACTGAAACTTAAACTGCTTAACATTTATTTGGAATATGCTGCAGGAAACGTTTTCTTGCTGGATTAAAATGTTCTTCCTTTTCTCTCATTAGTTTTACATTATTAACTTTAAGCTGTCTTTTGATGCCTGTGTGCAATTCTTTTCTGCCCTGTTTTCAGCTCTACAGCCAGTCCTGAACTTGTCATTTTTCTCTTGCTTTACCTCATAACCTCATTCAGCTTTTGACCTTTCGCTCGTCATGGTTGAAGACCCAAGCGAAATAGTCTTCTGTAAATCCACTGAAAACAAGTAACATTACACAGACAGAGATATAAAAAACATAATTCCTTGAAACTCAATATTTCACTCAGTGAAGCGCAGAATTAGAGAGGTGTGGAGCTGGAACAGGAAGAAACCCTTAAAATGAATTAAACCCAAGCAGCTTGCTCATATTACAAAATCAGGGTTTGAACTTAAAAGACGCAACTGTTTCTTTTCATGTGTTGAACTTTTATCAACTAAACGAAGGAAAAAAGTGAAAAAAAAATCATACAAAAAAGAGGGTAAGACAGGGGTGGAAAACAGAGATAAAAGTACAGGATGGCTGTGGGTAAGAAAGGAAACAAGAAGAGGATGGTGAGTGGACTGGGATGTAAGAACAGAGGAAGCACAGATGGAGGAGATTGACAGTGGCAGAGAGACAGAGGTGACTGACAAGAAAAGGAACAGGTAAAGAGGGGAAAAGGATGAGACCGGGTTTGTGGAGAAACTTCATTTTTAGGATTTTACCAGTATGTAGTTTCTGAGAGATCTTAACAAGTCAGAAAGAACTTTTTCTCCAAGGCTCTTTGAAGTTTAATGGGTGAAACATCATTAAAGAGATATTGTTGGGGGCTTAGATGTGTTTCTGACTCCCTCTAACTTTAAGTACAGGCAAGTTTTCCTGAAAGGCCTTATTAAACAGAGTTTACTGCTTGGTTTCCATTAGGACTCTGTTAAGAGGATCTGGCCCATCACACCTTGTCCTCTGAAGTTTAGGAAATAAATACAAAAGCAGCCCCCAGATTGTCTTGTTTTACTGTTCCTTTTATGATTAGCACATGACCTTTTCTGTGTTCAGTCTTTCCTTGAAGCGTAATTTCTTGCAAAGGCAAAGACCCTCTATAATACCACAAACCTTGAAATGCAAATAAGCGCACAACCGCGGCCATCAAACTTAAAGGGATATTCCGGTGTAAAATTAAGTAAGGGTGCCCTTGAGACATGAATGTTGCAGACCGCTTGCTTCTCTAGTTATACCAACCTAAGTAACAACCTCAGATAGCAATACAGAGAGATCATTACTTTATGGAAATGCAAAGGCAGAATAACTACTGCATCTGCAGAGCAAAATGATAAATATGATGGTTATCACGATCACAAGGAAATGATAAAGTAAAGATCATAAATGTTTTTCCTTGAGCTGCATTACCCAATTGCGGTCTATGGACCAACCCGGAGGTCTCGGTACAAACAATCGCCTGCTGGGTGAGAGTGGGTGAGTAGTGTTTAGTCTCTTTGCTAAAGAAATCAGGCAAAGCTAAAAAGGTGTTTGGTGGCTAGAACTATGGCTGGGACCCTATATGTACTGTCGATGAAGTTAGGTGCTGTTCTGAGCATTATTCATGGCTATAGAGTGACGTTTTGGTTTCAGTGTATGGCTTTCTGTATTGCTATCTGCGGTCGTTACTAAAGTTGGTATAACTTTAGAGGCAAGCGGTCAGCAATATTCATCTCTCGAGGGGGTGTCTAACTTGGTGTTACGTTGTGTCTGACCAGTGGCGGTTCTAGACCAAATTACTCCCCGGGCGAGCACCCCTCCAAGTGCCCCCCCACCCCCACCCCCACCCCCACCCACACACACACACACACACAACACAAGCACAAAAAGAGATAGAATTTTGAACAGATAGTTTTGTATTATTATGTAGTATTATTATGATTATAACAATAAAAATAATATATTTCTCAATTGCAGAAATCCTTCAATAGAAAAAAACACAATCCTGAGGGCCATTTTCAGAAGGGCCCCCAGATCCTGAGGTTTTCTGAAGTGTTAAGGTTTACAAAAATGCTGCTGTCTCGGCCTCTGTAGTAGATAGAAACAAAATTCAAAAAGTATTTGAGAGCTTATACATGTGGCTTTCAAGAAAGCTCTCTTTTAGTTTTGCGAACCTTCATCACATTTTTGAAAACCTTGAACAAACAAACTCAAATGAAATAAAGCGGCTGTATAAATAAATGTAAAGGCTCTGCACTGGAGAATGACAAATAATTTGCTTTCTGTTAAACAAGTGGCAGTCATGATAAAGTGTCAATTCAATACAAATGTAAATATAGAAAATAAGGTGTTGAAAGTGTAAACAGCTGCCCCAGTATAGTGCCAGTACAAAAGCGGAACTAAAAACTAAAAAATGAATAAATACATACGTGGCTGACAGTGTGTTCATCTCTGTTCTCACCCAAAGTCATGCAACACTGAGAGAAAACGCTGATAGTGTGAGCCAAAGCACTCCATAAGAAGAGGTTGTCCACACTGCTGGATGACCCTAACTTAATTTTACGCCGGAATATCCCATTAAACACATCAACTTAGGCAACTTTGAACCCTCATAGATGAGGCTAAAACAGGAGCAGTTGAAAATACTGTAGAAAGTTTAAATTTGAAAGGACACTGGGTCATATTTCACGTTAAAACCACATTGAACATGCAATATTAAAGTAAGCATTCAGTCGCTCCTTGACAAAATAAGATGAATTTAGGGCAGTAAAATCTTAGCTAACAATACATTCACCAGCTGTTTTAGAAATATCAGCTCTCAGCCCTCTGTATAATAAGATAGGAAGTGGCTGACTGCCTATACATGTTTAGATAATGTGTTTTGCTCAAGGACACTTAAGCATGTAGATAGTGGGACCTGGGATGAAACCCCCAAACTTCAGGCCAAGCTGCCCCGAAACATATTTTCTGACATTGTGGGGAAAATTGATTTCTTCATCTATTTCGTTGTCAGATGAATAAATTGTTGGAGACAAAACTGAACCTCAAACAGTCAATTCTGATTTAAAAAAAATCCTCTTAGAAGAAAAATAGAAGTTTTAGACCCTACTTTTAATGTAGTTTCAAAGAACCCAACATAAATCCACATAAATAAAGCCCTGCCAACACTAACAACAAGGGATATGTATCAAGAACTACTATTTTTGGCACTGATATTGATCAATACTGAAAGTGCATTTAAGCTTGTTGACGAATGGACCTCTTATCTAGACATAACCTTCCATGATATTTTACTATCTTTTTACTCAATGCTTTCATTACAACATAAAACAATGCAACACTAAGCAATGCTAAGCAACAGGCGTCAGGCAGCAGTATTACATTGTTGTCGTCTTATGCTGGAAGAGGAACTCCAGGTTAATGATAATGGTGTGTGGAGCAAAGTATTTGGAAGTTTTTCTAAATAAGTGTGTATTTAGTATTCAGTGACTGTTTAGAGAAAGCATCGGTTGTTGAATCTCAAAAAGTTTTAAATGCCACATCAGAAGTCAAACAGAGAGGCAAAATTACAGTGAGGCTCCAGTTTTTTGGCCAGTAGCTCTAAAAAAAAACAAAAACAAAAAAAAAAAAGGAAATATTTTCAAATTCATGTTTTCACTTTTTGAAGTTGATGGACAAGTTTCAGAGTGTAAAGGCAGTATTGATACTAATTTGATACTGATTCCAGTGTTGATATAATCCTTATTATACCCATTCTCTAAAAGACAGTGGCAAAGAAGAACTAAATTTAAACAGGCAGAAACCTCTGTCAGAACTCGACTTAACAGAAAGCCTTAGGAGACCTGCCCTGTTTTGCTTTTCATACTCAGTGGACCCAAACTAAAATGAAAAGAGATGATAAAGAAGAAAGATGAAGGTGAAATTTCCTAAAGTGAATCTGGTCCTCCCAACTGAAAAATACATCACACATGCAGTACTTCCCCCACTCACTTTTACACATGTACAGTCTCTGCCATCCTCTCAAAGTTATCTCTGCTTGATGTCTCTTTATCTCTGACCTCTACTGTTGCATTATCACAGAAATAGATGAGAAATGGCATAATGGTGTCAGAGAGCTAAAACGGGTCTTTGTCATTATATATCCAAGGGGGCTCTTTAACTTTTTATCTCATTTTAGGCTGAGATTCAACTGAGAGTTTTTGACTTTCCTGACTCCCAGATAAAAGATCATTTGTTTATATTCACATATATTAAACAAACTTTTAGGGGAAAAGTGTAGTGTAAAACGTAATATAAGTTGAGCACAAGGAGTTTTTTTTTTTTTCAAACTTGTCATTAAGCACAATCAGCCAGATTTCATAAAAAATTAAGACGTAAATAAAATAAATTTGTTATGTCCTTAGTGAATAGGCCTATTCGATAACTTTGCTCAGAAACACTGCCACAGAGCAGGAGCGCCGTTTCAACATTATGCACACACGCCACTGTGGAGCGCTGCGTTTGACTCCTTAAAGGCAGGTGTTTCTGTCTTGGCCCAGCAGTGGTGACGTTGTTGTACCCTCCTGAAAGGGTGTGGGACATCATTTGGGCTGGTACAGTTTTGCACAATGTTGCTCTGGCGAATGGAGTGCCGTTTGCTGTGCCGGTGCAACCTGAAGACCCGATGCCCGGAGAACAATAACGAGGAGAGCCTCCACAAAGGTGCTGTACAGAGGAGACAGGACCTTATCCATGGATTCTGATGTAAAGTATAAGTTTAGAAAGTGCTCTTGCTATTTAATCAGGGATAAAAATCCAATAGAAATCCATACAAATGTGCCTCAGGGGGAGCAACACACCGTTTGGTGACGTTAATAATTATTTTTGTTCAGCCTCTGTCAGACTCTCCAGTCTGCTCTACATTACAAAGACGCAACAAATTAAAACTAAATACTTCAAATAATAGGAGCAACGTACCCTATGTCATGGCAATAAAAAAATATAAGGGAAGTATGAGATATTAATTTATCATCATGTTACACGTAAACATGTTAATGACGATCGATTTCAGCAGCCACATTTATCAAGACCCAATCATACGTACGCTGGGATTGGCCAGATACGAACCCTTTCATAAATCTCACGTGTGTCCTATCATATGATGAATCCTGCACTCCGATCTGCGCTCAGTTCTACACAAGATTGATAAATGAGGGCCATTGTTTGCAAGACTTCTACAACTAGGATAAAGTGACATAGTTCAGGACCCAAGGTAAACAGTTTAGCGGCGCTACGACACACAGCAGGTCCCGTTTGACAAGAAACACTTCTGTTACAGACACCTGGCTTACTTTGTTAAAGCGGTTTACCTGTCCAGCAGAAAGCTTAGAGGGTCTGTAAGATCCCAAAGTGTTCACTGATGTTGACCCAGCTTTTTAGCTCTTGTCCAGTCTACCTCCGCTTTAAGCGCCCATTATTCTGCCCGAGTCTCCAGTATGTACTTCGTTTTATTGCATATGTTTTCCATACTTTCTGGTTGGTTTCTACTGTCCAATTTTGTAGCACGCTAACTTTGTTTGGTAGAGTGCAACACTAGGGAGCAGCGTCTGTCTTACAGCCAATCAGGTTGGGGGAGGCGGGGAATGGCTTTGTTTACAGTCAGAAAGAGCAGGCCGCTCAAATAATTTAAAATATTGACTACACAGACATAACAAATCGCAGCGATATCGTTATATTACCAAACGTCATCAATAACTAATAACTATTGACTGATATCAAAAGCTTTTTTGTATATATACCACAAGAGAAGATGCTTCTTTAACGGATTCCTGCCAACCCCACCTTTAAGTATTTAGGGTCACCGATACAGTCAGCTCAACAAGCGCCAGTAACACCTGAACAATATGCATTAAAATGCACCAGCCAAAATAAAGTGAGTGTGTAACTTTAGCGCACAGAGGGGGGATGAATTTTACATGTCCACCAGCTCCACTGCTTTGATTGCTCACTCTCTGTTGGCAGCACGTCCTTGTTGCACACATACTGGAACAGGATCTTCTCTTGTGCCACTGGGAAAAGACTCTCTCCTGGCTCTTCCATGCCTTAAGTCCAATCTGCTCCAAGTTTTACTCTTCCTGAAGGACAGAATTGGCTTGGTGGAGGTAGCAGGGTCTCATCTCCAAATGCATTGGCAGCTGATTACATTCACGCTTTTGTGATATCGAGTTCAGTAATCTGCACAGATGCGCGGTGCAGACTGTTTGAAGTCAGCTGAGTGACTGAGTAAGCTGTTGATGTTGTATTTCTTCTGAGGGACACCTGCCGCTTTGGAAAGCAGTACAAAATCCATGAGACCAATTTGGTCCAACCAGGTGGACTTTCCAAAAATATTCACTTTAATTTTAGAAAACCTAGAAAACTGTTGATGCTGTAGCAATTGTTGCAGTGGTCTCTGATTTAATTCCCTACTGAAACATTATAGAAAGACACACATAAAGTAATACACACACACTGCCACAGGTGTACAAGCATTATCCATCATCCATCACATTACAGAGATGATGCATCATGCTCTCATACGTCATTTTCTCCATGCATAATCCTCCCCTCTTTCTTTCTTTCTCTCTCTCGCACACATTCCCTGCTTCCATCTCTTTTTTTTTCTATTTTTCTGACTCACCCTAAAACAGACACACAAACACACATACGCATCTACACACAGTCATCTTAGCTGCCACGGTGACTAATGAGAATATGTGACAGCGCTGGCGGTAAGTGAGACGGAGAGGAAGTGGAATCGAAGGACACCGAAATTTGTCATTGAGGAAATGAAGGGCTAAATGGTTCGGCCTCACCACTTCCTGCCTCCTGACCAATAGCTGATGAGGAGTTAGAATAAGAAAATCCAGCAGGAGAGAGCAGATAGGAGGGAATTTGTTTTGAATGTGACCTCTATGTTTTTTATACCAATTCATCTTTATCCATCTTTCTTTTCATCACATTTCTCTTTCTCAATATGGGTCTTCCTCATTTTTTTTTTCAGTCATATTCATCACTTGCTTTCTCTCTTTTTAATCACTCTCTGTCCATTCCTCCTCCCTCTGTGCTCATTTACTCCTCACTATCATTCATACTTTGTTTGTCTCATGGCCTCCTCCCCTGCTCTGTTATCTTCCTTTCCCCCCATCCATCTGTCTATTTCCCCTCCTGTCCTTTTTTTTTTCCACCCACTCTCTTATATTTCTCTGTCTTTCCATCTCTTCCGTCCCTTTTTCTCAGGTGGTGGAGCAGATTAGCGGTTAGTGAGACCATCCCATTACTGTGAGGTTACAGATTCAATTTTAGAGGCAGATAGTGCGCACATCAACAGCCGTGCGTCCTGTCAAAATGTCCTTGAGCAAGATGCTGAATGCACACCTCCATAGTCATTCAAAGTCACCCCCACATAACAGCTGACTGACAAAAAAGTAAAAATGAGCTTTAAGCCACAAAATCATGTATAACTATCCTTGAGGTTGTCCTCGATGCATACATCTGCCTTTGACCTTCTTTTGCTGTTATTACTCTGAACTAGTGTTTCCTAAGATGGGAAGAGCACACATAAGTCTGCTGTCTTTTTCTGGAAAGTCTGACCTCCTTAAAAATTGCTGTGTTTTTGTCTGGACTGTAGCAAAAGCAGGGACTAGTCCACTATCAGAAACAGTTCTGACCAACTATGTAATCTTGTGGTTAAATGCGTGCTCTTACATATCAGTGTTAATGACTTGATTTTGATTGGAATAGTTTGTTATTTCTTGATGGCACTATGTCGCTGTGAGGAATACCCCAAACAACATTTTAGGTGTTGGAGTCAAGCCTTGGCTGGCTTAGACAAATCTGAATCTGGTCTGGGGTAAGTCAAAATTATCATTTTTATTAGTTTTTTAAATGTTTAACTTTAAAACATTTTCCTGTACGAACCTTGACTGT